ATTATCCCTTACAAAAATTATAAAAACTTATAAACCAGTAGTTCAATTTTTATAAACTAAAATATTTTATTTGAATTTTGTTTTCAAGAAATCGAAAATAATATACCCGGTTTAATGCTGCTTCTTTTGCCACAACTACAAATTACCTGCCACACAAGAACCTTTCTTTGGCTTTACATTTTTCAGCAACATTTCTTCGAGAATTGGCTTCATACAGCATTCATTTCCAGGTAGCTGAGAAAAGTCCACTAAATGTAAGTTTCGTCCCCCATTATGCTGGTCTTTCTTGAGAATAGTCACAAGTTCTTTGCCTTCCCAATATAATGTAAATTTATAACCTGTCCTTCTATCAATTCATATATTTTCCTTAAACAATTTTATTCGACTCATTATTGAAAAAATTCTAAAACATTTTCGGTCTGGCAACTTTATTGAGATACGTTAAGTCTCCGTGTATGCCGGCACAGCAATTACAAACACAAACCCGTTAATATTTATTGCAAATAAAAAGGCTATTTTCTGAAGTTTTAAAGAAGGACCTAGACAGCAGCTGCCGCCGCTGCTTGAGTAGTCAATACACAACGAATCAGTTTTTATTGGTTGACTTAAAGCACTAAACGTAAATAAATCGAAAAGTTAGTTACAGGCGCAGTTGGTTTTCATTTATTGCTACGGCCGGCATATCAGCATCGCGTCAAAACATCGTAAAATTCTGAAATTTGCAATCAACAGGACTCAAATATAAAAAAACAAAAATAAATCATTATTTCACATACAATAACAACGCCAACATAAAACGTAAATGAAAAATACTCTACGGCCTTTTCATTGTTTATTTGTGTACTTCTGCATGTTTTTGTTTTATTTTACTGTAATTTTACTGCGCTTAACATTATAAAGACACGGTGCTGCAGACACCGGCAAACTAAGATGCCTACAAGAATAGATCGGACCAGAACAAATGAAGGCAGAGCTGGTCACAGCGAAACATAAAAAGACTGACAAAGCGTAAATTTGCATCAATGGATGCACTCATTGGCAACTTGCTCACCATATACAGTAGTGGTCTTATAATTAGAAACGACTTTGCTACATATGGTTTTCTTAATTTATTTTAAAAATTTGGATTGCAACATTAAAACTATAAATTGGAATTTTACATAAAAAAACCACATTATTAAATGTATTTTTAAGAAAGTGAAGAAAACACGAAGAACACTAAATTCAGTTGGGTCATATATGTAATTTGAAACGAGTAACAAATTCAAAATATATTTATATAAAATTGAAAAAAAATTATAAAATTTTTTAGTGTTTTGTTGATCACTCCGTATTTTTACCAGTATTGTCTAGCCTTCGCGGTAAACTTTGGATTAATTGTTGGCATTTTTGCACTGATATGCGGTTACAACTATGTTGAACCATTTGAAACAACTCGTCATTATTGCGCGGTTTTTTGTCCTTAAGATCTCGTTTCACAATCGCCCATACGTTTTCAATTGGGTTGAGATCAGGACATTGCCGGGGATAATCCAAAACATCAATATTTTTATCCGAAAGCCAACTTTTCACTAACCTTAAAGTGTATTTTCAAAGGAATATGGTTCCATTACATTCTCCAGAATGTTTTTATTTTCCCTTGAACACGCACAATTGGACCAACACCACGAGAGGAAAAGGCTCTCCAAATCTTAACAGATTCACCACCGTGTTTTACAGTTTTCATAGTGTACCTTAGGAGGACATATTAAATACTATTTTCTGTCGGACAGAAATAAATTGGACTTGGATTCGTCACTCCAGAGAACTCTATTCCAGTAATGGGGATTTTTCTTCAGCATTTCCTTCGCAAATCGCAACCGCTTCTTAATATTTTTTGGATACAAGCGGTTTATTTGCAGAGATACATATCTACATTAATTTCCTGTCCAACTTCAACCTTTATTTCACGCGAAGGCCCGGTCTTCTTCTGGAGTGGTTTTCCGAAGTCTGGTCTTGCTGGTTTCAAATTTCTTTGTTTTTTATACAACTGTACAGCTCCGAATATCTTTTTTTTTGCAAGCAAACTTTCTGCGATAGCTGACATTGATAATTTTTCCTTTTGATAGCACCTTACAATAAACATTATAGTTAAATCGTTTTAAATTGAACCTTGTTTAATTGAAGTATACTCACTTTATCGCTAAGTTTAAAAAATCCGAGAATCGAAAGAAAGAACTGCCCCTTTCTAATTACGTGGCCAGAAAAGAAACACCAACCGGGAAATAATTTTAATTTTTTCATTAACCAATCAGTAAATAGTCACGTGCTTATTTAACAATAACGTTCATAGTCTAACCTACCTATAACGGGGCATATAATTTACAGTGTACGTTTTAAAAAAGTATACAGTGATTTGATTTTTTGTAGCTTATCGTTTCTAAATATAAGGCCACCACTGTATGCATGTATAAAGATATATATGTACATATATACACATGTGGCGGTTGACTCTTTGCAGCAATTCAAATAGCCACAATAGCACGCAAACACCCAAAAACGCAAAGCGGCGACTCTTCATGATTCTTTGACGTGCTTTTAGCAATTCACCATGCGCTGGCACAGTCGAATGAGACACACCGTACGTAGCCAGTCATCCAATAAGCCAGCCCGACAGCCAGCTAGCCAGTCATAGGGGAGAAACCCACTTTTAAATTAAAAGAAGGAACCACCAAAGATAGACCTTAAATAGTTTGGGAGGTGGTAGAGGTAAGTAAGGAAAATATCTTGTCTTATTTTTACGAGACGCTCCCCCATTAACATTAACAAAGAACGAATCATCCAAACATTCAGCAAGCAGCCAGGCCAAGTCAAGCAATTTCGACTTTCACAGACTGCAGAAAATAAATATAATGAAAATAAAAAAAAGAGCGCCAAATGCACAGACATAGACATAGTCATTGAAGTGCACTAAAACGGACCGCGAGATGTATTATTGGCGCCGCAATAGGAAAAAAAAACACACACAAGTGCTACTCGCCACGACATTGCAACATGGTTTGTATGTACAATACATTCAGCATTGTTGTATACGTTTGGAATTCGTTGTGATATTTTTACTTTTTTATTTTTGACAACTTTTTTTATGCTACTGAGGCGTCTGCAGGTCAAATGAATAACGCGCCACTAAATTTTAAAAATAAAAAATGGGGCAAATTAAAAGCAGAAAAGCAAGAAAACAATCAGCGCAAAATGTGAACAGCAAATCACAGAAATATTCAATTTAGTTAAACACTGTGAAAATTAACCATTTTTAAATTTATAAAAATTGACATAGCCCAATAATTTCCTATCCTTTTTTAGTTAGTATTTACGAGGAGATTCCGATACATATCTTTACTCCGTTTAATTGTTTTTGGCGACAGATTTACACAACAATTACTGCTATGTCCATCTGTCTGTCAATCTGTTTATACATGAACTAGTCCAACAGTTTTTACGACATTTGGAACGTATTATTATCCAAGCTTTCGCTACAATCTCGATAAAAATTGTTCAGGTCAGAACATATGTATGCTATATAGCTGTCATACAAGCTGACCGATCAAAATCAATATACAAATCTTTTATACTATAAAAAATACACATGGAAGGGGTATTTAAGCTTCCATGCAAAAGTTTTTATTTATTAGTATTATTAAGTAAAATATAAAAAATGTTTTTGTATTAAATTGGCATGTCCGATTATAAATTTGCAGACATAGAAGTTCAGTATACAAAATGGTATATTGCAGTCTAGACTGCCTGCATATTTTATTGTTTCTTCATTTTGCGGCATCATAAAAATATATATTTATTAGCTTCGAATTCTTAATGTACTTCATCAGAAATTTCTTTTCAGCGCGCGTTTCTATCGCTTCTAAAGATTTGTACAACAATATTATGTATTTTAAGAAAAATCTTTGCATATATTGAACATGTGTAAAAAAAATAAATGAAAATTCGCTTTCGAACAACAATCTACAGCATTTAACAGACAACCATTCTAACAAATACCGAAACACAAAATAAAATCAAACAATTAGTTAGATTTTCGAGCAAATAAATTGAATTAGGAAAATGCAATAGAAAAAACCGGCGACTGTGGTAGCGACACAACACAAACCTCCTTTTATTTTTAATACAAATTCAAGCGTCACAATACATGGTTCCTCGTACCCTTCTCTTTGATTTTGCAATGTTTTATAAACCATCGTCTACCTGTGAAGATGTCCTCTACTGACGACCGCACCCCACATACCACACCGCACCGCACCAAATACGAAATTTCTGTTGCGTTCGTAACAACAATAATATGCTATGTACAAAAATTGGCAAATGGGAAAAAAATTAGAAAAATCAAAGGCACACATAGACAGTCGTGGGAATGGTCGCACGAACTAATATGATAAACACCAACAAACACCAGACAGAGAACAGACGACATTAACATGCACACATTCACACATTCCTTTAAAACAAGTGAAATTAGTGTAGGTTAAAAAAAAAAATCGTATAAATTACGATGCATGATTAAATAATAATAATAATGGAAAAAACAAAAGAGTGCTGCCAGGTTACGTCTAAATGTAAAGGAAACAATTTTTGTGTTTCAGTTTTGTACAAACGGAAGATATCGAGATTCTCACACCACCAAATCTAAAGGCCATTTTTCTATGCTAACAAGCAGAAGGACTAACAGATTAGTGCTAACCAGACATTGGTCGTATCCAATTTCAAACTTCTAATTTCACAATACATTTCCCTGTGAGGACTTTCGGTAGTTTTTAAAAATATTTTCGGTAGGAATATTTGATCTGGCAGCATGAACATCGTACAAAACTCCCAAGGTTGTCATTATGATTACCCTATTTAGAAAAATAAATTCTAACTGGCCTTTGATAACCACAACTAATTTGCCATCCGGTCACATATAAACATAAATGTAAATAAATATATTTTTAATAAGAAATTTTAATTACCAGTATGACACGATGACGTTAACAAGTCGCCTTTTCTACTTTTGTATATACGTTTTAGTTATTCACTTATTACTTAGCTTATTTTCGCTGTTCTTTTTTGTTCACTTTTACTACAAGCATCGTTTTTCAAAAACGTACGAGACACACATACATAAACTGTGGCGATTGCGACGAAGCCAACGATTGTGATTACGACGAGTCATTTGATTTTTACAATTCTCGTAACACCTTCCTTCCTCACTCTTCCTTTTTTACACCTTTTGCTTACAAATATTGCACCATATTCTGAAATACCATAAAAACTTTCTTTTTCTTTTTACTAAATCAAAATATACACAAAAACGTGGAAATTATGTATTAGAATTTTCTTTCTTGTTTTAAACAATGTGTACTTTTCCGTTCTTTTTAATGGGACGCCATTTAACTTTCCATGAAGTTCGACGCCATTTTAGACCAACACTATCGTAGGTCACCGATTCAATGCATTGTGGAAATTGATTTCCACTAAATGCATATTAATTTCACTCAAATTGATATCATATAACACAGACACACGTTTCACGTACAACTTTTTASATAATTTTCAAAACACACTGCGTTTTTCACCTCTTTAAGTGTTAAAATTTATTTTTCTCCACGCCGCGAATATTTCTGTGGGACTGCTTACGCATACACACCGTCTGACAGTAACTTTCGAAAGGCTAATTGGAGTAAAAGGGAATCGAGCAAATTGTGCTGCCATATAATAAATGAAAAATTACACAAAATTTTACAAAAATTTTGTAAATCTAAGAAAACAAATTTTTATTGATTCAATATTTGTCTTAAAATTATATTATATACAATTATTTTTATGATGTCTTGAGAATAATGTATTTATAGCAACAATAATTATTTTAATCCTTTTTTTAGAACGATTAATTTCTTCATTAATAGAAAAATACTGAAGTATTTAAAGGTAAATAAAAACAAAAATAGCTGGAATTTGGAGATATTATTATAAATATCGCAGACATAGGGCAATTACTTTGTAAGTAGGTGTAAATTTCAATAATCGCAAAAATAATATGAACTTAATAAAACTCTTCAAATATTTGGAAATAACGGGTTATTTGACTACATATTTTTTATTGGAGTAAACAGCGCAAGGGGTTTATAATTGAAAAAGTAATGGATATTTTTATAACATGACGCATATACTTGATAAATAGCATTGTTATTATTATAAATTTGTAATGGCATAAATTAATAATAAATATACTTTAACAATTGTGAATACAAATCGAAAAAATTATGGATGTATATCGATAAAAAGCATTTCGCAACACTCTACACCAATCAGCTGTGCATATGTAAACAAAAAATATTTCTATTTATTTCAATTAAACCAAGCACATGAACACATAATGAATCGCATCTATAAAATGGCAAAAGCTTTTAAATACTCCAGTCGGTGTTCGCGTAATTTATCAAATGCTGCAGCGGATTGCACTATATTTAGCTTGAGTTCAGGTTAGTTGGAGGAGTCATCGTTCGAAAATTATTGGTTACAAAAAATCTTTTAATTTAGGCTTTGGCAAGTGCGGGGTCTCTGTAATTCGCGTTTCTGGACCGCAAACCAGGAATGCCCTACAAACACTAGTCGGCAATCGACATGAACTAAAAGCTCGTTATGCCTATCTTAGGTCTATCTATCATCCTGAGACAAAAGAAATAATTGATAAAGGCTTAGTCTTATGGTTTCCAGCACCAGCTTCTTTTACCGGTGAAGATTCATGTGAATTTCAAGTACATGGCTCATTGGCAGTAATAGCAGCATTGTTAGACGCATTAGGCAAAGTACCAGGTCTACGGCCAGCAACTGCTGGTGAGTTTACTAAACGTGCATTTTATGGTGGTAAGATTGATTTAACTGAGGTGGAAGGATTAGCGGACTTAATACATGCTGAAACGGAAGCGCAACGAAAGCAGGTTGTCGAGTAAATATTTCTAATTGTGTATCCACAGATAGTAACACATCAACACACTTTAACAGGCTATGCTCCAAAGTACAGGTGCACTTTCACGAGTTTACGACAATTGGCGCAAACGACTCATAAGCTGCGCTGCACATTTAGAGGCATATATTGATTTTGCGGAAGAAGAAAATATTGAGGATGATGTGGTGTTGCAGTTAACTAAAGAATTACATCTTATAATAACTGAAATACGAGATCATTTGAATGACCAACGTCAAGGTGAAATGCTGAGGAATGGTGTACGTACGGCGATTGTGGGCGCACCAAACGTTGGTAAAAGTAGTTTCCTAAATATGATTTGTCAGCGAGAAATCGCCATTGTAACACCAATAGCTGGCACTACTCGTGACATCATAGAGAGTACACATAATTTTGGTGGCTACCCTGTTGTTTTTGCAGACACCGCTGGTTTGCATAAGCACACAAAGGATATGGTTGAATTGGAAGGTATAAGCAGAGCAAAAGAATGCTTACAGAATGCCGATTTAATACTACTACTGACAGACGCCCAGGAATTACTTCGAAATATTACCACCAACAAACAATCAGCTCAAAATTATCAGACTGACTACTTAAAGCAATTAGACTTGGATGCGAATAAATTAATTGGAAAGCGTATACAACTTATAGCGAACAAAATCGATTTGCTTTCAACGACGGATCTGCAAAAGTTGGCGCAAATTGATAGTGTGCTGAAAATTACTTGCAAACAACCACCTACCGATATTGTGCAACCATTTTTACGGCACTTCGAAAAACTCCTTTATGAACTGTATGTTAATGTGATTTATTGTAAATATTTTCTAATTCTGTAAACAATTAATTTATTTCCATACCTTAAAGCTGCGGTGAACCAACTGCCGAACATCCACGCATTACGCATGCGCGTTATCGCCAACAGTTAGAACGCTGCAATGAACACTTACATATTTTTCTACATGAATATGCGCCAGATATTTTTCCAGATACGGCAATATCGGCTCAAAAACTTCGAAATGCGCTCAAATGTATTGAACGTATAACGGGACATGTGAGTACGGATGACATCCTGGATGTGGTTTTCAAAGATTTTTGTATCGGTAAATAGAATGACTGAACGTTAAACACGTTGATCGGTAGCATAGTTATATATCTTGATAGGGGGTTTTTTAAAGACCATCTTTTTTGAGTTTTTTTAATTTAGTCTTTCTAGATGTTTGTATTCTTATTTTAAGTAAAATAATGTGTTGGCTTAGCTGTTAAGTTATTTTAAATAAAATATTTTATATTTACGTTTAAGCAGAATATTTACAATATTTAAACCAAATAATACGGCTTTAAAAGTTTGGTAGAAGTTATAAGAAAACTAAAAAAAATATTGTTTCTTTTTAAATTCAGATAATTCTAGACAATAACAACATTGGAAAAACTTTAACCACACATGAGTAGGTTTTTTTTTAAATTTAATTACTTCCTTTATTGCATAAAATAAATGGGCTGTGAAAAAATGTCTTTCATAAAATGTAAACAAATCAATAAACAGTTACATACATGTCAATGAAAACAAATTCATCATTTAAAGTATATCGTTCCGAATAATTTATACGAGCATATCTAAGTATATAATAATATCGATTTAGCGTTATTTATTATTGATTTTTATTCATTTTGTTTTACACACCATGTGGTGAGTATAAGTCGATTGCAAATATGAGGTTTTCACAATTTTAATTCCTAAATGTTGAATTTATTTTTTCTATATTCTCATTTATTTGTTTTTTTTTTTAATTTTTTTCTTTGAAACTTTATTTAGTAGCTCGTTTTTTAAAGCGTTTCTTTTTTGTCAGTGAACATTAAAAATGTGTCATTTCTGTTTGGCTAACTAAAAAAACTATGCAAATATTATTTTTTAATTAACTACAGTTTTTTCTATGTATATTTCAAAATTAACAGTTATATTCTTGCATTTGACAATTTAAGTACAATAATAGCAACAAAGCAGGCAAACAAACAGCATTCAAATTCATAACAGTTTTTATTCTAACTCTATTAATTTACAATTTCACTTTATTTTTGGAGAGAGCAGGCATTTCCATTGATTGCATTCATATATTTTACGCTTACTGTTTTACATAAATGTTTGCACTTCATTCTGTTTTTGATTGTGTTTTCTCTTAAAATCGGACCAACAATATTTTTTAAAATTTTTGCCAACTGCGAACCAAAGCTTCATAATTCGTTGTATACAATGAAAGAAATGTTGGGTAAACTAAAGTTGTAAAAAGTATAGTTTTGGCATTTTTTATAGTTTGTTTTGATTAGCAATTTCATAACATTTGAAATGTATTTAAGTTGCTATTGAGCTTTCATCATTTCCTCCAATACTAGCTTCGCCTAATAGTATAGGCTTTTCGGGCGATTGGTGAAAAATAAGCGCTATATGCCTTTTAGGCGCGTGTATCAGTCATCGGCGTGATAGGAAACGTAGACAGCATCACCACCAATGCTAATCAAACATTGGCCCTGAAGAATAGTAAATAGTGAAAATTATTGTGGTACAAAATGGATTTGGTATGTGTGACACGTACTTGATTTTTATGTTGGTTATCGACTAATATCAATTCACTCATATAGAATGACACCATAGCATTGCCGCCCAGTGCTGATATGTGCGCACGAACCACCGCCAATAACTGAAAGGTAATGCAGATGGTGTAATTATTAAGGATTAAATTATTACATAATCTAGATTAAAAAATTTTAGGTTATGTGCTGCCCAAAGTATAATTAGAAAAGATTATATTATTATTATTAAATCTAAATTTTAAAATTTTTAGTTYATGTGATGTCAAAGTTGCAGGCATTACTGTATTTAAGAGTTTTTTTTTATATATGTTTAACGAAAAATCAGTTATCATCAGGAGCTGCAAATTGTATTCGGATATAGTAGCGCTGTCACTTGAGCAAATATCTATACGAAATTTCGAGAAGTTGTCTAATCGAATACAAAAAAGGTTTCCATGCGGTATCGACAAATTAAGAAATGATTCTTAGAAAAAAAGTTTTTCAGAGCGAGATCTCAGAAACTGAGGGACTAGTTTGCGTATATACAGCAGACAGCCTGACGGACGTGGCCAGATCGACTCAGCTCTTCACGCTTATCATGTATATATACAATATATAGGGTCTCCGAAGTTTCCTTCGAGTTGTAAGAAACTTCGTAGCCAAATAGTGAAATTTATTCTTAAAAAAAAAGTTTCCTTCGAGTTGTAAGAAACTTCGTAGCCAAATAGTGCAATTTATTCTTTAAAAAAAAGTTGTTTACGTTTCTATACTATTTTTTGTAAAATTATGATTTCCTTGAGCTTTTATGCAATTTATAAACTATTTCACCACTTTGTTACTTACCTCCGTTATAAACGAATGCACAAAACCGCTAATGCCGCCATTCTCTCGTATTGAAGTAGTTTCACGAATAAAAAAGAAGTTCAAATTACCGAGATATTTGTCAATGCGACCGCCTGGCACAAAACTGAGTGGTGTAATATCAACGCCATAGCGATCGCGTAATGGGAACTGATAAAAATTAACAGTGTATTGAACGTTTAACCAAATATTTTTTTTTTTTTACTGTAAATACTCACGTAATTGTTGCGATTAGTAAGAGTGCCTTTCTTGCTCTGTTGTCGTGATGGAGATGTTTTGGCTATTTTGAAGCTATTCATACCGTAAGGCGGAAGATTTGAAGTCGGTGTTGGCGTCTCCACCATTTGATCTTCATCTAAGGGGAAAATGTAATCCTCCTCCTGTAGCGTACGCTTATTGCCTGCAGTCAAACCATTCGCATCGGGTGCATCGTTTGCTGTGCCATTCGTAAAATTGGTGGCGGCTGCTTTGCGACGATATTTAAATTTATTTGCATCATCCAAGCCCAGTGCCATGCCAGTGACCAGCAGCTGTATCTGATCCTATGGGTTTGCAAATTATTCAGCGTTTCAATAAAAAGCGAGTATGGAAGAGTGGTAGTAACCACAATCAAATACTTACACTCTCTGGCAGATCTAGTCGGAATCGCAGATCGCAAATGGCACAGGGTATCATTGTGCGCAGTTTAAAGTAAATGGTCTGCAAAATTCTGAAAATATAATTTCGTTATAAGATTTTATTGATCCATATGAACAATTGGCATACTTACCGCTGAAAGTGTTTAGGGAATCCACTAATATTTTGGCTGACATCCAATTTGGCGCGCCATACTTGCGTGAACATCTGCAGATTTTTTACCGCCTCCATTTCCAGCATACCGGGCACACTTTGCGTGTTGACAACGTGGAAACCCTCTGGCGGATATGTTTCCATGAGCAAAGAAATAATTTCCAAATCTTCAATGTCGTCTACTTCTAGCACACATGTGTCCTTATTGCCACAATTCAAATCGATTTCGATCACTTCATCGTCCGACTCATCGGTATCGGATTGTTTGTCGAGCGTCGCCACACCGCTGCCTATTAAATCCGGATCTATACATTTGAGCTGATAAATTTCCTGATTGCGTTCGAATGTCTCCTGCAATTTCTTTTGCAATTCATTCAATTTCTGCTTGTCCGTCCACGAATTCCCAGCCACTATTTTCGGCACCTGTGGCACTGGTAGCGCACTCAAAAACAGTGCTGTGCCCGTCGCTATCAGCGCAATCATTCGCTCACCAATCGCTACTTGTGCTCTCAACCCGAATATGGCATTCATACCCTTCGCCTTCAACTTATTAATTAGCACACGATGTAATTCGTACTCCAGAAATGGCAAACCATCCGATATCTCTTTAGCATTTAGTTCTGAACGTAAGTCTTTTTTAGCGCGTACCACTTGTGCTTGCATGAAACAACCGCGCCCGGTGACATGAAGACGTTCAGGCACTTCGAGTGTCGCCAACAACACATCTGGTACCCGTCCTTTCCGACATATGGCACATTTCTTCATTTTCACATTGAACGGTACTGACGCCAAATTGTACGGTACATGACACACGCTACACGCCGAACTTTTTACGACACCCATGCTGGCCGGTATTGCATTCTTCTTACCAACTGAACCATGTATTGTAGTGCCAAGTGATGAGGACATTGTTGTATCCTTTGCCAGCGATGAAATTGTTTCGTTTGCAATGCCGTTACGCATATCTTTGAGCGTTTCGCGTTCTTCGAGCGATGCAGACATTGTGCCACCTGTACTGCCCACGCCGAAACCGATGCCGACGGGCTTTACAGCTGCGTTGAGTATATCAGTTTGGGATACGGAACGGTTGTAGGCCATATTAATAACGGCCGCTGTGCCTGTTGCAGATAGCACGCAAACATCGTCACTGGAGAAGTACAAAAGTTTGTATGATGAAGAAAAAAATGTTTCAAATTCGATGAAGTTACTAACTGATATTAGAAATGTCACTTACGAAATGGTCGTCGCTTCGGAGTAACCCAGTACCACATTGCAACCAAGCGCACGTGCATGTGAACGTATTTCCATCCGCAATTCAGTCCACCAAGAGTCACGCACCTCGGGCTCATCAGGATTGGGAACACGTTCCAATAATTTCACCGAACGCGCAGCTACTGTGGCACCCAGATGCAATATAAAACCGGGAGGATATTTTGTCATGGTTAGGAAAGGATACTCCAACAGGCCATCCATGCCGTCGGTGTTGGCATTTTTAGCGCCTAACGGTTGATTGAGACGCATCAACGCTGTAGCAGCTACCAGACGTTCACTGGCCACACACAATGAATTTCCTAAACAAAAGGAATGCAAAATTATTAATGGTTTTTATTTGTTACAATTTTGCACAATTTTTATAAAAACATTCATCAACATGTACTAGAGATTGTAGGACTTTTTGTGGACATGACTGTGCGTGTTTGTATAAGGAAATATTGAGGAATACCACAGATTGGTTGAGATGTAACGTACACCGCCGACTTACATACATACATACATACATACATATATACGGATAAATATTACTGAAATCTAGATGACACGAAACAATGCTAAAAGTATTTTTCTTCAAGAGACCCTTAAAAAAGACCGGTTACTTGAATCCGAAGATTTCGTAAATTCGAAAAGTGAGTGAACAGCAAAATAAAATTGAAGGAATATTGCCGATTTCACAGTTCTTGACCGGAAAAAATTCGGTTACTTGGACCCGAATTGCAATACCATCACCCATATTGAGACCCAGCATT